GCTCTACTGTAACAGCAAAATATGTAAAGCTAGTACAAACCACCTTTACAGTATAACAGCTCACTTAAAAAAAAAATCAGCATTAGACTAGTGCTAGTGTTGCGCTCAGCTTTTCAGTGCAGTTTTTAATTTATGAAACAGCTCTGTTTATATTTGTTATAAATTTCTTGATAGTGATTGACATACAGTAGAGCGTCATTTATCCGAATCAATTGGGGACTGAGGTTGTTCGGATAACCGATTATGTACGAAAAAATATATTAACCTATCCCATGTTGAAATTTTTTTCCATTGCGTGTCGCTTTGCATTAAATTTTTGTCGATGTTAAGCCTAACAAAAATTTTTATAATAATAATATAAATATTACTTTTTAATAAAATCTCGTAACGGATGCCATCACGCGCAATTTTAACTTTACGCTAACGTGTCTCGATATTTTTAAATTTAAATATTCTTCTAAATAGAGAAATTTACCCCAATTCAACAAAATTACTCCTCTTAAGCTTTCGTTATTACTTAATTAACTTTTATTTACTATTATAATTGAAAATTATCGGACTTTCTTCCCTGTCTCCGTAACCCTTCTGTTCGGGTGCCGGGAAAATCGAATTTTTTAAAAATTTTTTATCCAGTCAAATAATTTAAATAACAACGAGCTTCAAATCTACATTAATTTTCGATGATTGTTTCGATAGAAAATTAAAAGTTTTAATTTAAAATATAGTTACTTAATACGGTGTTTATCGATTGACGAACTATTCAAATTTTATCCACGAGATGGCAAAGTCATCGCCCTTAATTATCGAAATCGAAATCTGGCGTCGAAGCAGTTATATGTAACTTAATTGGATTATTACAAAAAACAATAATTTATAACGTTGTTTAAGTATAAACTCCAATTTACCGTAGGTAATCCGATCGGATCCGGCGAAGTAACGTCATATTAGGAAGCGAAATTTGCCATTACGTCATTAAATTTAAACTCGAATTATCACTTTTACGTAACTCGAACATTTATTAATATACCAAATTATGTTATAATCGTTATTAATTAATTAATTAATTAAAGAAATAAACGCGCGGTTTTAATAAGAGCGAAAAATATTTCGATTGACGTCACCAGTGCGAGGAGGCGTCTACAAGATCCAGCGCCGTCACGTGATGGCTTGTGGCATTTTTTTTATTTTGAATGTTTGATGGTTTAGTACACTTACGGATGTTTCGAGTATGTGAAACTAATTTGAACTATTCGTGACTAATGTGCAATAACTTGAATTCTACGCATTGGATATTAAAAAATGGCGCGTTTATATATAATATTAATGTCACGGCGTTGGGTTATTTTCACGTTTCAACTTTAGGCTTAAAGCATGAATGACGATCACAGTTTGAATCTCAGCGACGACGAGGACGAGTTTGATGTTACTAATAACCAGCCAGAATTACACGGCACGCTCTTGAAATGGACAAATTACATCCATGGATGGCAAGACAGATACATTGTGCTGAAAGAAGGAACATTGTCTTACTATAAATCCCAGAACGATACCGGTTACGGATGCAGAGGTGCTATCAGTATATACAAGGCTGCTATCAAGGTAACAGCTAACTATTCGTTTTTATATATTAAACTCTATTTACTGTATAAATTTACACGTTTTTGGCCGTATTCCAGGCTTATTTCTACCTGTTTTCCTCATTTACGTGTGCCGCTGTTTACGGCTTTAACGAAGCTACAGCTAGATATGTCGCCATATTTAAAGTTTTCCGAAACATGTTTACGCGCCTTAATGCATAACACACGGTCGTTTGCTTTATAAATCGCTAGCTTGAGCCTTTACAAAGCTAGATAAATACCAGTTTGTTTAACCACGGGTATTTATTTATAAAATTTTACATTAAACGATAATAAACAACGTAGGCTATTAAAACTCTTTTTGTTTTGCCATTATTAAGGCTTGCCGAAAACAGGTTTTATGTATTTTACTGCTTAATTCTTTGAGAGCTGCTAATAATAGTAATAATAAATACATACATACATACATACATACATACATACTAGACCTTTAATGAATCTGGATATTTTTCAAGTTTTATTAGAACTCTAGCTAGTTATTTTGCAAATTTTAGTGATTTCTGGAAAATAATATACATTTTAATGCAGAATTTGTGATATGATTGAAAAATAACTAATTAGATCTTGTAGAAAACTGTATAAGTATTAGTATTGCTAAAGTTGGATATTTATGTATGAAACTCTACCTTAATTAATTCTTTAAATGAAGTGCCCCTTACGTAATTGCTTTTACTTTCTCCTTAAAATATGGATCTTGCTTCGCTTGGTGCCGAATTATGTTTTGTTTTTGAATGTTACTATTTTTTATTTTGGCAATTTTTTTGTATGACAATTTTCCACTGCCCATCGCCTGCTTGATGGATTCTTTAAAGTTTTCGTGTCGATAATGTTTACCACATACAGTCGATAATATATCTGTGATGCTTATTACAAATAAAATAATTTTCATATATATATATATGAATTTTATGTTGTCACTTATAGTTAACTGTTGTTTGAATTCGATTGATATATTTAGCTATTCCATGTTAATCTGTTTATAGAAGGTAAATATAGAAGGTAATTGGTTGCATAAGTGTAACTTTGAAGATCCGATACTGTTTAAGAATGACTGGTTTATTTACAGTTCTATATTAAATGACTGTGCATTGATATTTACCATGGTTTTGGGTAAAACTCTTTGTTTGTCACAGGCGTGCTGGACCCTGGCCCTCACCGCTCGGCTGGCTCTGTTAAATGGGCCCTCTCTTGGTGCTGTCCAGGTGGAGAGTTTCAAAAAAATTAAGCTGTTGCTTTCTTATTAAAATAATTTTAAAAATAAACGGTTAGAGCTTGATACCCAATTATCGTTTAATTATTGCCGATTTTAAGACTGATGAAGTAATTTTTCTATTTTGTTTTAAAAATTTAAGCCTTTCAAAAATCTTCCACTGTTTGTTAAAGCTAAATATTTATCTATATAATTTTATATTTAAAAACATATATGATTTAAACAGTGTAAAATTTATGATTTAAAGCATGTATTTTCCTTATCTAAACATATATATTTAGCTGTACGCAGTTGTGATTTGGTATTGAACTATTTGTTTGGAAACATTTTATGCATTTTTGATGTGTATAATTCTTTAAGGAGCTAATTCTCTGAATTTTCTGAAAGATTAACAGATATGATGAAAATGGTAAACCATAGTCAATAGGATTAATGTTTAAAATCCTACTTTTCTCTATAAAATTCAATTTATTATCTGTATAGTTTTGTTGAACTATCGTATGTTAACTGATAGTTAACTTTAATCAATAAGTTGGATGATCCTACTGCTAATCTGTTGATGGGAGGCAACTGCTGTTTATAGTAGTAGTTTGTACGTACATTATCTAGTACTTGCTAATTTAGTTCTTGGAGCAACTCTTTTGTTTTATAAAGAGTAATAATTTTAAAATATTTATTAATTTATATTTAAACAGTTTTTAAATCACTATTTGGCTATTGTTACTTTGTTGTTGCTTGTTTACTAGATTATATATCAATTATTATTAGTGTTTACTGTGTTATGTTTAATTTGCTTAAATTATATAAACTGATGATCATAATAAAAGGGTTTGTTTGAGTAAATTATAAGATATAAATACATAAAACTTTCTTTGCCTTTTTAGTAAAGAATGACTTAACCACTCAGCAGTGAGGGACGTACAGTAGAGCATCATTTATCCGAATCAATTGGGGACTGAGGTTGTTCGGATAACCGATTATGTACGAAAAAATATATTAACCTATCCCATGTTGAAATTTTTTTCCATTGCGTGTCGCTTTGCATTAAATTTTTGTCGATGTTAAGCCTAATGTAAACTTTTTAAAATAATAATCGTAGCTATTGAGTCATTAAAAATTATTTCTTTAGTTTTTACAAACAAAATAAATATATTGAAAAATATAAAAACAAAAAAATTTATACTCTAGAAGTTAATCTAGTATCAAAAATGTACGATTCAGCACAACACACAGTCCTCAGAAAAACACTACACAAAAGTTCCAGTGCTGCCAGCTAAAACACACACACCAACAAAAAAATATTGGAGAAGCCCAAGATATAGCCAAAGATTGCAGTGCTGCAGCACTAGCAAAAATTTAAATTTGCCAACTGGAATTTTTTCAGATAACTGACTTACGCGATTTTCAAATCTCGTCGATCCATCTTTTGTTTGAGCACCACGCAACTCTTGATTACTCACTCCCCCACTCTATTGTTCAGCTTACATGTTCGGACATGTCGTGCAGAATCGACACATAGCTACAATTTATTTTGTGTTATTTATTTCTGTGTTTGTTATATCTACAGAACCTTGAGAGACTCTATGTGGTGATTTCTTGTAACTGTGAATGAATCCAAAGATGAGATAAGATTAACAAGAACATTTATTAGCTTACATACATCCGACTTGGATTTTACACAAATTGCGAAATTATACCTCGAATTAAGCGGTTATCACTTGTTCCCATCTATTGCATAAGTTTAGGGTATTACTGTATGTCAAATTCTTTTGGGGATATTGCAGAAAATTAGCCAAAAACTACCGCCACAAAAACTTCACATAAAAAATGAATTATGTAACAATAAAAAAAGACTTTTCTTTACTAGACGTAACAGTTTACAAAATCTTTTTCTGAAACAGTAATGAGAAAAAACACATGGAAATTCTAAAAATTTTTCATGTTTATTCTCTACTACTAAGGGGTCACTATACCTGACTATTCCACTGTTGAAATTTTAAATATGGTACTAATCTCTTCGTACATTCTTATTATAGTTTTTATAAAATTTAAACCAGAACATAATTTGCATATTACATATAATATATAAACTAGAACATAACTCTAAACTGTTTAACATATTGATTATTTTTTAATCAATTTTAAACTTGCATTACTTATTACAGAATAAATAATACAAGTTTACAAGTTTTAGAAGAGACTAGACCATCTGTGACCCAATGGGTTATGGGTGGTCTGAAAGATTTATAAAGAATAGAAGATACCATAATAGGTAATAGTAGCATATTTTAGATGTGTAACACCTCTTTGTATCTTGTTTTGTAAACTTTTCTTCAAAATAAATCATGAACTCTTAATCTTGGCCTGTGGTACATGGTAAGGGCCTACCTATGCTGTAACCTGTGATGTGGAGAGCCTTTTTAGAAATATATGTCAGGTAACACTATATGAACTCATAGTGTGCACATTGGGATAACACTTGTCCTTGGCTATAATTATTTTTTAAAATATGTCTTATATGTATATTTTTATATTTTCATTTATTTGTATGTTTGTTGTTTAAGTTATGGCAATGCAGCACTTGTGCAGAGGATGCCTTCCGGGAGGTTTTTTTAAGGGAAACTGGCCCCTATTTAGGCATTACAGACATGGAGAAAACCCGGAAAACTCCACGTGGCCAGCCTGTCCGAGCGAGGCGCAAACTCACAATCGAATTCCCAGTGTTCAGGGAACAAAGATCGCTTGGCCACTGGTGGACCCATTTATTTGTAACTTTAAAGATCTCACCATTGACATTTGTAATTGTTACTCTAGAATGTTTTAAAAATTTTTGTTCTATTCAAATACAACCAGCATTCAATTTGTATTTTTTTTCCATGGCAGATCAGTAAAATACAGGTGCTTATCAGTCAAAAAGGGTTTAGTAGTGTATAGAGGCCAGATGGACACTCATTTTACACAAAATAAATTAAAAATAAAAAGTATTCTATATGAACATTCGATCAGCAGAGTGATGTAAATGTAAAAAGAATGTAATTGGCAACTTTAAAAAGTAACATGCAGAATGATGTCATTGGCAGAAAAAATGATAATAATTTAATAATCTGTCACCCGATTTTAACAAAACTTGTTTTATTTTGTTTCTGTTCTCATTTTGGGTATAGGAGTCTTAAAAATGTGGAAGTATTTTGCACCATTTTTTCTGTATAAGCAATCAAAGTCAGATTTTTAACATTATATAGATTTTTTTTGTGGTTTTAGACCTTTTTTTTGCTCAGAGAGTGCTAAGCATATAGATTTAATGAAGATAAAAGATTTAACTAGAAATTGAAGTTAAAATACACATTGAAAGTTTTTAATGATAAATTTAATTTGCAATGACAAATTTTATTGCTTGTATATTTAAAAATTAGAAGAAAATAATCAAATTTAAATTCATGAATGACAATGATTGTAATAATGTTTGTCTATCAAAAAGTACTTGTTTTATTATTTTAATTATAGAACAAGTAGGCTAAATTTAAATAATATGTATTTATAGATTTGTGGTGTATAATTCTTTGGGTGTAGAATCAATGTATAGGATAAATTTAAATAGTTTATTGTCATCCAAAGTTTGAATCATGTAATGAAAATTTATGATTTGTTGTTCATTATGTTTTGTTATGGCATTATTCATTGGGTTAAAATCATATCAAGCTTGTGATTTTGGTATACATTGAAATATTTTCAGAAGAAATTTGTTTTTTTGA